GAAATGAATCCAAAGCGTTCCAGAGCACGTGAATGGCTCATGTGTGAGGAGGTGCAAATGTTCAGTACTTGATTTGATCATCATACACGGCACACACGTAGCAAACTAGCATACTATACTCTATAAATACGCATAAATATTATGTGTCAATTTAAAGCAAACTGGAAGGAAATTAAAGAAAACTAAAAATGTTATGGAACAAGATCAACCATTTTATTCGCTTAAATCTGCCTCCAAATCATTCAAAAAATCAAATCTAACTTCAAAGAGTAGATATTTGCCATCTTAGAGGACATTCTGAAGAATTTATTCTTTGAAGGTAATTGCAAAATGAAATTATAGAAAATAATTTGCATTTTCAGCAATATAGTGATTGCATCATGGGATCAAGTGCAAATATTTTTGGACCTGCGATAAAAAATATGTGTTTACCTATTCTTTCCTGACCTCTGCTACAGATAGCAAGGCTGGAATGGCAACTAAGACACTATCTCGTGATTCTGACAGAAGGAAGGATTCTGGGACGGCATCTAAGTCAGATTTGTTTTTCATATGAAGTCCTGTCTATAAAAGTTAAAATAGCTGTCAGAGAGTTAAAGTACCCCAGGAATGGAAAAGTAAGATTTGGTTTGTGTTTGGAGAGAGAGATGACAGCATTTTCAAATGCTACTCTCTTCTACTGCCTCCAAATGAAGCGATCATCATTATAGGAACTACTTACATCTAATTTTATTAAGTAAAGGCTACAAAAGCTACTTTTACGGACCCTCCAGGAAAAATCTTTCTCAATGGCACAGAGTCTATACTCCTTTTCCAATCATATTCCGGAAATCCAACTGCTAAATCTCGTCTACCCTGGATATCCTCCCAAAATTCTCATGTTATTATTACCATCAAAAAGATATTATAAATCCCCATGGCTAATCACTTTGATTAATGAAAATAATCTTAATTGCCCTACTTTTATTTACACACTGGGATATATAATGTTATTTTTATGTATATATGCATAAAGCCAAGATGATACACAATGATTGATTATACCCACACAAAGCATGAAAGAATATTCTCTAAATCTCATTAGAATGAAATGATTCAGATTAATAGCTCTGCTGATAATGTTATTTAATCAATAAATGGTCTTTTTCAGGGGCATTTCACTTCACTGAATGCAATTAGTAAGGCTTCTTTTATCAAGTCACACTCGTAAGCCAATTTTCCTGTACGGAAGAAAAAGGAACGTGGTGATTGTGAGTCATGCCGTTCTGTCTGTTCCCCTTCTTAAAGCCAACAAAGAATAAGTCACCTTTCTTGGGACCGTGAGGCTATAACAATGTCAGGAGCATAAATAACAAAGCACAGAAGCTTAGCCACCTTTGGAAGCCAGGGAGATAAACTCTGTATTATGCAAACTTCCTCATTCCTTGTGTCCTTCCGTCATTCCATTTCATTTTCTACAATTAAATACTAAAGTTTAGAGGTGATTTGGAAATTTTTCCACATACAGTTATTAGATTGTACTGTTTTTCCTTCCCCAACCCCACTTTTACTCACATATAATGTCTAATATGACCCCAAATTGTCCATGAGGATTGGATGTTCCTTCTACATGTTTCCAGACTGTGGATGCAACCCAAATATCAAGGCCCGCTGCCGCAGAATGGGCGGGGCGTCAGGCGGGAGTTCTCTGCTCTGTGACTATACAGCCGCGGTCTCCTACAAGACCTGCAGAGAAAAGGACAGCGTGAAAACTACCCGCGTAAGCAGTGAGAGACGTCAAGACCGCGGTACCCAGAGCGCCTCCTTCATCTCTTCTACACAATAAGCCTCAGGATTGTATAAACTCCTCCGCAGTACCAAGAAAGGTTTGAGGGGCACCACAATAAAGAAATATACTACATACTTATTATTAATCACACACCAAGTAACAAACAACATGTAATGTATTCACTATTGTTATTCTCCTATTATTTTGTTATGAAATTTTGTTTTACCTTTTTTCCACAAAATCAAATTTTAAAAAAGAATTTTTTCTTGTTGCTGTTTTCTGAGACAGGGTCTTTCTATGCACTTCAGGCTGGACTTGAACTCACTATGTACTCTAGGCTGGCCTTGAACTTGCATCAGTGCTCCTGCCTCAGCCTCACAAGTGCTAGGATTACAGATGTGTGCCATCACACCTGGCAAGAATTTTATATGATTACAAAGTATTGCATTTCTTAATCACACCTTTCCAAAACCAAAGCCATTTAAATTACTGGGACTACCCATTCTCCTACAGTCTATTACCCCATATGTTTTCTCATGGATATTTTAGGCCTCAGAAAATTAAAGCACAGATCTAAGGCATGTGAAAAAATGAGAAATCACTATTTTCTTCTGTTGCAGCATGTGTCTAGACGTCCTCCCAAAGACTCACGCGGTCATAGGTGGGGCTTTTTCAGAGGTGGCCTGATATAGAGTGTGTGCTGCTGGAATTGATCCATGGTGAACTCTAGGCTCAAGCGCACTAGGTTAAGGGTGTGAGCACTGCCCTCCCTAAGAAGCCTGGATAAGGCACAAGGGATGAAAGGAGCTGCGGTTGTCACTTGTTGCTTTGTTTCCTTCTGCCCACCATGAACCGTTTCTCCTCTATGATGCCTATCCTGCTACCCGGCCTTGGGGCCAGCCAATTATGGACTGGAACCTCTGCGAATTGTGAACTAAATAAACTTCTTTGCCTGTAATTCTGTGTGTCACGTATCTTGTCTTAGCAGTGAGAGGAAAATAACTAAGACAGCTTCCCAGGCCTGTTAGCGCTAAACGTGGTTCTATGTACAGAACAATTCATATAGTTTTGGAGATTTGTTGGTAAATGCTCTTCCCACTTTCATATTCGTCACTTGTCATACATACAGAGGAAATTTAGAGAATTATATTAACTTTTTCAAATTTTTACAGTGTTACTTCTAAGCACTTTTGAAAACATTTTGGTTATTAAATTGCTTCCAAGTAATATACAGTTACTGTTACTTTGTCTTTGAACAGTCCCCTACACTCAGGAAAAATAGCACCCAGTTACTCTGCTTGGCACTTAAGACCTCCCCTGTGTGTGACAATCTTCCAAAGCCTACCTTATTTCCTGTCTCTTTACTCAGCAAGTTTTATTCGAAGATCATCTCTCTCCCAGTATTTCCTGTATCGGAAATGAGCTTCCCCTCATGTGTTTTCACATGTACTGAGCTCCTTTGCTATTTCATGCTGCTTTGTGTTATTTTTGCATCACTGCTTGTCTAAGTGCCGTTTCCTTAAGTAACTCCAATATTTCAGGATGATCTTGCCACTGATCTCTGAATCACCATGGTGCAATTCTAATAATGTGCTCGGGTTTAACCATTTGAAGTCTTCTACTGCTTTCAATTTATTGCACGCCTACCCCACGAGGAAAAGTAAAGCACACCCTCTCAGTTTCTCACACACACAGACGGTATTTTTGCTGTTGTTTTCTTCTTTCCACATCTATGAAAGCCTCCATGAGCACTTAACAAATAAACCTCCCTGTGCCCAGCAAAATTTAAAGCACTGATGAGCAAGCTTGTCCAGGCGGGGTGCAAATCTCCAGAGAACTTACACTGCAGTGCAGAAAATAGGAAAATGAAAATAAAATAGGAAAATACGTAGAAGCAAGTAAAACAATTCCAAGCCTCCTGATGGAAGGAAACAAAAGACCTAATTTCAGGTAATTAATGTGTAGCGCAACTGGTACTGCTATGGGAGGTAAGGGCAGGCCTCCCTGTGGCCTATTAGATTAAGTATAAAAATTTGGAGGGGCTTTTTAAATTTCCATAAGCACAGAGCGTGTATAATTTTAATCGTGTAGCTTCAACTTTTTAAAATTTTTTCAGAGACCTGCTAAGTTTAGAATAAAAATAAAGCACATAAAGCCGGGCGTGGTGGCCCACCCCTG